TCTTTTAAATCTTCCAGATTTAAATTAAAAGTGATCTGCATCCTGTTGACTATGGCTCAGTGGCAAAAAAAAAGGGACACATAAGAAGAAACCTTGTCCTTATTGGTGCTTTACCATGTATAATAAGGGAAAAGCACAATTTTATCTTAAACTGAAATGCAGAAATAATACTTGCGTTTGTATAGATACAGAATGTATCATGAGCAAAAGCGTCGCCGGCTCTATAATGTATACTTTGCCTCTGTGAGGTAGTTATCTTCTGAAATTACTAGCATCGAATTTACAGAAAAATATTCGAGAACTCTCTTCATATGCCCTATTCTGCTAATTTTAGAGGACAGGATTGCCTGTAAAAATATATTATACGCAAGAGGGACTTCCATATAGTGGGTGAGGCTGCCATTTTGCTTAGAAGCAGAAAATTCACGCTGTTCCGTCTCATAAAAATTTCCACTAGCATACAGTGTTGTTGGTGAAGAAATAAATTTTATATATTTCCTATGACGTATTTTTTCTTTTTTTTTTTTTATTGGTTAAAAATATGTTCTAGAATGTCTTAATTTATTTATGTAGCTGCTTCTACTTTTCTTAAAGATTTTGAATTTGTCAAACTTTTTATGAAGTATCCTTTATTACATATTTTAATGTAGTTTAACTTATTTCAACATATTTTATATCATATTTTAACATAGATTAGAATATTTGGATATATTTCAACGTATTTTAACCTAGTTTATGATAACATGACGCAACCGCCCTCTGTTATAAATTTAGAACAAATTGCGCGCACGTAATAACCCTTTTCTATGTATACTTATATACACCACAGAAATTAAATTAAGCCACTATGGCTTCTCTCAGAAAATCCAAATCTGCTTCGGCTGACGAATGCTCACCTAAGAATAGCAGGACGGACGGAAAATGTTCCCCCGCCAGTGTGGTCCAAGGGGGAAGCTCACATGGCCTTAACTTCCGAAGATTCCTTTTTCCCTCCTGCTCAATTGCACTTCTCGTTGTCGCTATTTATATGTTGCTAATAGTAAACTATATAGAGTAAAGATTTCTCGAATAAATAATTCACACCTTCTGGCAATTTTTGATTTCGCCCTTACGTGGAGTCCACTATACGCTCCTTCCCCATGTTTAGATGCTGGAAGTAGTCTATACATCTGAACTATAAGTATTATACATATGCCTAATGTGTACGCCACTTGTTGTTCCAAACCCTTTTAAAAAATTCCTCGCAGAAGATAACCCCTATGAGCAGGAGGATAATGGCCCAGATACAAGAAAGAAACTTATCCGAATTAAATGAAAATGGATGTTTAAGAGGAGGCTCAGAAAAAAATGTAACTTCCTCTGATTCTGAATCTGATCATGTGCTATCCTGGTCTGATAAGATGGATTTAGGTAAAAATGAAGAACAGGAAGGTCTGGATGAAGAAGAAAATGTTGAAAAAAAGTATGGAGAAATTGACTTCTATAATATTTTCTTGCCTACCATCTGGGAACGTGACGCGATATTTACTAGCAATGTGAAGAAGGAGGAGATAAACGACCTGATGAATGATATGGACGAGGTACCATCACAGGATGAAATTATAAAAATATGGAAGCGGGCATATGCTCTGGAGGGACAAGAATATTACAAAATGATAAATGGTTTATTCGAATATTACGAAGAGTTAAAGGAAAAAAATCAAGTAGATGAAGAACCTCTTTTCAGTCTTTGGAGTGGAGTTATGTCCAAATGTTTTGATGTACTAAAAGAGAAAGAACACCAATACAGTAAACTTTTCAACGGCTTCATCATCGGAGATGGGATGACAAAACAGGAATTTGCTAATTTCTTGCAAAATTGCAACAGGGAGGCTGCTGAATTCAAGGAATCTTTAGAAACCATTGCGAAGAAAGAATTCGAAGCAAGAATAATTCCAGTAGGAGGCAACTAAAAATGAAATTTGTCAAGTGGAACAAGTTACACAAAGGAGTGATAAGACGAATGATTCTCCACATATATATGAGAGTGCCAGAAACTATCGCGCAGGTTAATAATGTACCGAAGGAAAGAAGAAAAGCGTATGCTTCGCTTCGATTCTCTAGTCGACCAAATTCACTTAAAAGAATCGAGATCTCATAATCCTACGGCCCAGCGAGCCCAAATGAAGAGCAAAAAAAAGAAGTATAGCGTTTCGGACTTTTCCATAATATAGCATCTGTGACATACATATCGCGTCAATAGATATCCAGCAAAAAAACGAGGATATCTATGCCAAATATAGAAGCTGCTTAGATTGGTAGTTTATCTATAAAGGAAGTACATTTTTTTGAATTTCTATCTCTAACAAGGGATAATCTTCTATATATATGTGGCTTCTCCTCTGAGTTAACTCAATTTTTTTAGTTTGTTTCTTTGAAACTTTTGTCTAATTGTAAAAATTTCCTAATTAACAGTGAACTTCCACTTCGATTGGTATTAACATGCCTTTTAGTAGACAGAAATAGGGTATCCGTCATTGTAGTTTTCTACGTAGTTTTCAGCCTGAGTTACCTAGAACATTAAGGAATGAAGTAATACATGTATTTCTGTATAATATAACAGTCCAACCTGCTAAGTGGAAGCGGATAAGCATTTAGAAAGAGAATTCGCTAAAGACAGTTGACCGTTTTAAAAGGAGTTAAGGTTGTTCTTTGGAAATTCCTTTCCAATAAGACCGGGAAGTCTGAATGAACAATCGCAAAGTAGATGGTAATCTGACCTGCGTCGACTGGTGAATTTAAATAGAATAAAAAGAATGTCTAAGGAGGGTGTACATGTTGAAAGATGATTTACATGGAACATAAGCCATTGCTACATAATGTCTGCCGTGATAAAGTCGTAGAAGTATGGTTATTAATATTACAGCATCAAAAGCGTAATTAAAACACTTGAAAGATCATAAAATATAGCCGAAGAAAAAGGAGAAGCTTAAAATATGATGATGTGATTTGGTAGGAATCGGACAGATTGTTTAATACAATGTCAGGTGGGTTATAATAAATCCAGGTAAATATTAAGATAATACATTGAAGAACCCCTTCCTACATAGAATCCTACAACACAGTTAACGATATTCATGTGATACATAACTTGTCAAATTATTTAACAGAAGGAGCACTAAAGATGGTAGGAACTATTCCGCAATATATGCCCCTTCCTTTATTTAAATAACGCATTATTACAAGGATTTTTTTCCATTAGAAAGCAAGGCGTTAATTCTAAATTCTCTTCACATAATTGGAAATTTTCTTATATGCTTCCCAAAATGGAATAAATTATGCTAACATTTTTATGTCAGGGGGTGTCGGTTGTTTTAAAAGTAGAAGTACTTTTTGAAGTTGACTGTGAAATTATAATATTAACGGAGCAGTCACATATATATAAAAGAAAAGAAGAAAATGGAACAAGGAAGAATAAAATAAAAGAATAAATAAAAAAGAAGAGAAAAAAAAAAAAAGAAATAAAACAAAAAAAGGGAAAAAAAGAAAGCGAGAAAAATAGAGGAAAGAAAAAAAAAAAAAAAAGAAGTAAAAAGGGCCCCATCAGATGGAATAATATATATACCTATAAACAGCTGAAGAATCTTTCCGTGGCGGAATATACGAGATTCCGGTGATAAAGGATGAGGAAATCCTGTTTATCTGTCTAGTACACTATGTATATCTGTGCGACGAATATATGAAAGCAAAGAATATGGCGAAGCGGAATCAAAATATAACGGCTTCCGGATCGGAAGAGGACGAGAGCGACACTTCACGAAACAGAATAACCATTTAAAAGATTATAAGATGAAGGTGAAAATGTGAGTTATCACGTACATACGAATACTGCATTAGATATCACACAAATCATAAGAAGAATCAGAGGGGGGGATCACCCTGTAATTTGACACATTCCGATATAATATGAGGATTATCGTAATATATATATATGCGAGTAAGATGAAGCAGGGATGCTGACAAAATCGGTGGTATCCTTTCTGATGGGTTATATGATGATCACTACTTAGGGAAAGACAGGCCTGTTCCTAAAATACCATATT